AATTGCCAGGAAGATGGAATGTTCAAGAAGGGGGTTCAAACAACGATTAAAAGGTACAAGGAAACAAAGTCTTTCAAAACAGAAAAGACAAGGCCGTAAAAGTCTACAACCGCCAGGGAAGACAGATCTTTGAAAAGAGCATCCCTTGCAGATAGGAGGAAAAGTTCTTCAGAGCTTGCTGCTGAACTTAGGGAGGATGCAAACAAAAACATATCAGCTCGAACAGTGAGAAGAAGGTTATTAGAAGTGGGATTAAAAGGATGCAAAGCCAGGAAGAAGCCATACTTGTCTCAGGCCAACAAGAAAAAACGACTGGAATTTGCAAAAAACCATGAAAATTGGACACCTGATGATTGGGGCAAAATTGTTTGGTCTGACGAAAGTAACTTTGAGGTAAGTTAACAGCTTCTATTTCCTAAACTTTGGATGTAATAATTGAAATTTTTATGTGAATACACATCCATAACATTTATTCAAAAATTGTAACAAATTCTTTTTTTTTTCATCAGATTTTTGGCACCCCTGGAGCGGTTTATGTTCGCCGTAGGGAAGGAGAGGCATTTCATCCTGATTGTGTGGTTCCAACTGTAAAATTTGGAGGAGGAAGCGTAATGGTTTGGGGCTGCATGGCTTCTTCAGGCACTGGAATGTTGTACACATGTGAGGGCAGAATGAACTCCACAATTTATACTAACATGCTGGACCAGGTTTACCGAACCTCTTTGACTAAAATATTTAATAATAACATTCCAAGTGATGTAATCTTCCAACAAGACAATGCTCCATGCCATACGTCAAAAGTTTCAATCGATTGGTTTGAGAAAAAGGGATTACAGTGATGAAGTGGCCCCTCAATCCCCAGACCTAAATCCCATTGAAACTTTGTGGTCCCATTTAGGGAAAAGAGTGAGAATGCACAAATGTTCATCAAAAAAAAAAAAAAAAAAAAAAGAATTAGAGGCCAAACTTCATGAAGATTGGCAGAAAATAGATCCTACCACCTGCAACAACTTAGTCAATAATATGCAAAAACGAATAAAAGCTGTTATAAAGGCAAAAGGAGGACATACCAAATATTGATTGTTGTTATTAATGTTTACTCCACTATTCTTAACCTTTAAATATATAAGTTTGAATCATAATTTCATTGATTTTTGGCATTGGTGCTCCATAAAAGGAAAGAGAGCTCAGAGAATTTGATTTAAGAGGCACAGTTTATGAGGATATGTGGGAAGGTAACGATTAACCCTAGACATGAGCAGGTTAAGATTGTAGTGATCGGAGAAGCATCCTCTTGGGGAGTCAGTTCCACAAAGTAGCGATTCGTTTTTTGAAGGTCGAATAGTGGAATAGCGAAGGAATGAGATTGGTTCACCACAATACGAGTCTTAGCCGTTAAGGTTTTAATTGACAGAACTACGGAATATAATTGGTGCGAACACATTCCATGTATGTTCGCTATTTTCCCTAGCGAGAATCTTGTCATATTTCTTCTATGGGAAAGTGGTTGTAGAGCGGAAAATAATTTATCACTAACAAGGCCGCGAAGATTCTTTTGAAATCAAGAATGGGAGAGGCTACAAATGATAGGAAGCTATGGAGAGCCATGATCGCCTAAGACCTGAAGAGACACGACACAGAGAAGTAGAACTTGTTACTCCATCTACACGTTTTGCTATTACCCTTTTTATTTTGACAACTGTAATTTTCATTAAAATTCTTCGTTATGTAATTAAAATGAATTTAAAAAATAATTTGATATTCCATTTAAAAAATTTTCTTCCATTTTGTTTTTTTTGTTTTTTGTTTTTTTGTTTTTTTTTGTTTTTTTTTACAAAATAAGATTGATGATGATAACACATTGACATTTGGCTGACATTCAAATTATTAATAATATTACGACTATTTCGTTCACTGTCATCGCAGGAATGCTTTGCCTTCATTCGTGCTATTTTAGTCATTTTCTTGTATAATTTTTAAATGTGTTGCCTTCGTTTTCAATGCTAAAACTTTAATTCTTGCTCTGCAGCCGACACGTGAAGACACGGCCCCCTGCCCGTCATTTTCACGAAAGAAAACTGAAGTTGAGGCGCACACGGTGCGCATTAATCCAGCCTGATCACGCCACAGCATTGTATGCTCTGCCCAAGCACGAAAAGTAGTGACCTGGAAAGGCTTGGCACGCGTTGCCCATTCAGTTGGCCTTTCTTAAGCCGCTGACGAGTTTTAATGGACTATTTTTTTTTCTTTGCCTGTTAGCTGCAGGATAACAACTCATAATCAGCATCATTCTCCCTTTTTTTCTTTTTCTCTCTGGTTCTTTCTCACATATTTTGCTCGATTTATGTTATTCAATTCCATTACAAGCTTTGTCGGGGAATATCCATGCGCGTTCGTTCTTACGACAGATTTCGTCATTCTCCGACATTCATTTATTTTCCGTTGTATATTTTCTTTTTTTTCTTTTCTTTTTTTTTTCTTTCTAGTTTATGCATAGGCCTTTCTTATTCTTTCTTTCTCTTTCCCCACATTATTTGTTTTGAAGTTTTTCATTCGTTTTTTTTTTCATTTTTTATTCCAGCGTTCCGTTTTTCTTTTCTTTTTTTTTCGTTCTCCTTCTTTCTCTTTTACTTTCCTTTTTCTCGTTTTTTTAATTTTTTTCATCTTTTTTCTTCTTTCTTTCATTTCCTTGCTCACTTTTTATTTTCCTTCTTTGAATTCTTTTTTCTCACTTTCTCTTTGTTCTCATTCATTTTTTTTTCTTTTACTGTTCTCTTCCTTTTACGTTCTTTTCATTTTTCATTCATTTTTTGTTCTATCATCTGTCTTTTTTTTTTCTTTGTTTTCTTTCTTCTTTCTTTTTCTTTCTGGTTTCTTGCATTATTTTTTCTCTCTTTCGTTTTTATCCCCTTCATTTTTTTTTCTTATTTCTCTTTCTTTAATTTTTTTCTTTCTGTCTGACTTTCTTTTTCTTTCTTTTTTTTCTTTCTTTCCTTTATCTTATTCTTTTTTTTTTCTTTCAATCTTACCTTTTATTATCCCTTTCTTATTTTCTTTTCTTTGTCTCTTTCCTTTTCCATTTTAGGAAGCTGGCTGTTACCCACCTTCCGAAGTTCCTTTCTGATTCCTACTTGTCTTGTATTACATGGACTGACCAGAGAATCACGTGATTGTAAGTGAATCATGGGATGCTGATAGAATATCTATCGTGTGATTAAGAACATCAAACTTGGCTAACAAGGCACGGAAATGCTTGAGACCATATTTTACAGGAGTTGCACCAAAGATTATATTAGAAAATAATGGTGGATATCTGGAACATAATTATCTATGCATATATTTTGAATATACGGCTTTAGAAAACGACTACTTCTAATTCATATTATTATTAATAAGCCTACCATTCATCCTTGCTTTGAATATTGGTGCCACATCTGGTCTAATGCTCCTGCTATATATCTAAAGATTCTTAATAAAATCTAAAGAAGAATCCGAAATGTTATTGGTCTTGACCTGACATCTCGGCTTTAGTCACTTTCCCGTCGCTGAAACATGGCTTCCTGTGCCTTTCCTATAAATATTTTCGTGGTAATTGCTCGGAAGAACTTTCTTCTATGGTAACATTATTTTGTTTAGTTTTCTGTAAATAGTTTTATACATTTTTGTAAATATTCATTAGGGTTTAAATTTTTAAATTGTTATTTTATTCCCCTCTCTCCACAGACAATGAATTGTACATATGGATACTATTTAGGATTTTCATAGAGACAATGTTGTATTATGGTGGATGTGGGCACCCCGCAGTGGTTGTAATGGTTTGCAAGCTTGTCACGCTAGCATAATTACGAATGATTAGTGAGTTCGATCCTCACTGGGTGCACTATACTTTCGGCCTTATGCCACATTTAAGCTACGCTTGGAAAATGATTACAGTGTAACTTGTTCTTTTTGAGTAATTTCACATCTACTTATTATCTCTCAGTTGCGTCTCTGTCCTTGGACAGAGTGCGCTCAGGGGCTTCTCTGTCAAAGGACAGAGGGGCAACTGAGGAAATTATACTGAAGAGGTGCCCAGCCGTGGGGAACAGCTGCCCGAGGCCGCGCCCTCCCATTGCACCAGAGGGAGGGATCGGTGCTTACACCGAGGCCAGCGCAACCGACGGTTGCGGGAGCTGAGGGGAATTTTTGTCCCTGCACGGGTGCACGCGCTCGGGTACCCACATTAATCCGACCTTGTGTCACATCTCATTCTCGTGGGGGAATGAGTAAACACCGTATTATGGTGGATGTAGTAAAAAAGTTAAGTAAGAATGCGTTGTTTCGGTGTTAGGAATATTGTGGTATGCTTGGGTCAGTGTTTGTGGCTAGCTAAGTTTAAATTTAAGACAGAACAAGACCGTTCTTTTCCCGTTCCTATTTTTGGCCTTGTGCCATATTTTACATTATCATGCAAATAAATATCACTTTCCTCCATGGTACCTGGACTTCATGAATTTAAGCGCCGTGCTGGATTGGCGGAAATGTCTCTTTATTTTAAAGTTGAAATGGCTAAATGTAACTGTAAGTTCTTTGCTAATGGTTTCTAACACACTTGTGAAACTCTCTTTCGGCTTCTTGATTCCTAGTCAAATTTCATTTGCAAAAATTTAAACGCAATATCAGTCGTTATCTTCTGCCTTCTTAATTCTTGTTCTTTTATTGTCCTCTCAACTGATTAGTAGTTTTTCTCATATTATTTAACACTCAGTAACCCCTTGAGTTTTAGGGGCTTTATTGCCTTAATTGGGGTGAAATGATTTAAAAAATGCGGCGATATCGGACGCCTGGCTACAAAACAATAGTTAGCAAGCCAACTTCACAAAGACTCACGACGGCTAGAGTAACTTCGATATTCACAGTGTGCTTTATATATCTGTGACCTATTGTCAGACTAAATTAAAATTAAGAAATATCAGTAGGATGTTAACCATTAACCTTTTACTTACTATCTATCTATCTAGTTTAGCCTATTCATATCTATCTATCTATCTATCTATCTATCTATCTATCTCTCTGTTCCAGTCTACCCTTATCTAGCTGTCCATTCCAGTCTACCCCTATCTATCTATCTATCTATCTATCTATCTATCTATTATCTATTCCAGTCTAACCTTATCTATCTGTCTATTCCACTTATAACCATATCTATCTATCTATCTATCTATCTATCTATCTATCTATCTATCAACTCTGATCTTCATGAATTTAAATGCAATGTCAATCGTTATCTTCCGTCTTCTCGTTTTTTTTTATTGTTCTTTCTCCTTAATACTAGTTTTTTTTCTCTTATCATCTAACACCCAGTACCGCGCTTGTGTACCCGCTTGACTTTATTGCATTGCTTAGGGTTAAATGATTAAAAATAGATTACGAAGTTTGTTCCACCATAGAAAAAAAAATGAATCTACCAAATAGCACACAGAAGCATTAGATAATATAATTTAGAACGGGAAACAACTCCTTACATACAGATAAAAATTAACTGAGTAAGCACACAAAACAGAAAAGGATATAATTCAAGGAAGCTTCTTTCAATGGATTTATTCAACCTAGAGAGGCGATCCTAAGAGTATTTGACGTCCTATCTTTATTTATTATTGGAAGACACAATCTTAACAATATAAGATACGCAGATGACTTCCTGTTGCGAGCAGGACCTTCAAGAAGACTACAAGAATTCCTAGACTAGGTAGAAAATAAAAAGAAGCAAGAACTCTCTTCTGGCTTCTTGCATCTCGGTCATTTCGGATCTTCAAACATTAAAATGAAATATCAGTCATCATCTTCGGTATTCTTAACTCTTCTTCTTCTTTTATTGTTCTCTCTCCTTAATAATGCTTTACGTTTTCTTATATTCTTTTACAATCAATAACACCTTGTGACTTAGTGGCTTTGTTGCTTTGCTTGGGGTGAAATGATTAAAAAAACATATGGTGATATCGGACCCCTGGCTAAAAAGCAATTGTTTGCAAGTCATTTCCATTACTGCTAGAGTAACTTCGATATTCACTACTGCCAGACTAAGGTAAAATTAACAAATTAACAATAGGATGTTTACCATTACACTTTTACTTCTTATATCTATCTATCTATCTATCTATCTATCTATCTATCTATCTATCTAGCCTAGCCTATTCATATCTATCTATCTATCTAGTCTCGCCTATACATATCTATCTATCTATCTATCTATCTATCTATCTATCTATCTATCTATCTATCTAGTTTAGTCTAGTCTAGCCTATTCATATCTATCTATCTATCTATCTATCTATCTATCTATCTATCTATCTCTCTATCTATCTATCTCTCTCTCTATATATATATATATATATATATATATATAGTCCAGTCTTTTTATATCTATCTATCTATCTATCTATCTATCTATCTATCTATCTATCTATCTATCTATCTATTTATCTTTGTCCATTAATGTAAATGCTATATCAATTGTTATCTTTTTAATTCTTATTCTTTTATTGTTCTCTTGGCTTAATAGTCTTTTTTTTTCATGTCCTCTTACACTAAATAACCCCGCTTGCGTTTTAATGACTTTATTTCCTTACTTGGGGTGAAATGGTTAAAAATAATTACGAATGTACGACACAAAACACCTATTTGAACTGCTATCAAAACTCGCTTAATTCTGGAAATATATTAAGGTAACGTGGAACATTTACGAGAAACAAACCTCCTGTATACGGATAGAAAATAACATAGCAAATACAGAAATGGGTGTAATTCCAGGAAGTGTCTTCTCAACGGATTTATTCAACTAAGAAAGGCGATCCTAAGAGTACTAAAAGTTCTATCACTGTTTATTATAACAAAAGATACGCAGATGGCATCCCATTGGTATCAGCCACTGCAAGAATTCCTAGACTAAGGAGAAAATGGAAGAGAGAAGATGGAACTGAGCATCAACACTAATAAGACGGAAAAAAATAGTTGTTAGCAAGGAGACCGACCAAAGAGACTTTAGGATCAGGCAGGAATATTAAATTATCTGGGAAATGTTCAACAAACATCGGGAATTGTGAAACAGAAATGTGAAGGTGCATTGGAATCAGCATTGCGTGCACCTGTGGTCACCATTCCCCTTCATAATAATGGTTCATGGTGACATTGAAAGTAAAATAGTGTAATGGCTAGCCGCTTCCTTTTGCACGGGTGATATTGAAATTACCCCGCCTCACCTCTCAGAACCTCTCTATCTATCTATCTATCTATCTATCTATCTATCTATCTAGTTTAGCATTTTCATATCTATCTAGCTAGCTAGTCCAGTCTTTTTATATCTATCTATCTATCTATCTATCTATCTATCTATCTATCTATCTATCTAGTTTAGCATTTTCATATCTATCTAGCTAGCTAGTCCAGTCTTATCTATCTATATAAAGGTAAAAACGCTGACCTCTTAGCCTCCTACACCTCAGCTAATAGCTGACCCACGGCTGCTTGGCACAGGTAAGTTGGGGACAGGCGTTTCTCTTTGTGAAACCCTTCCGCTTACCCTCACACAGTTTAACCGACTGGTCGATGCTGTCGACCAGGATGTGGTCGTTGTAGTGCTCATACGACTTCTTGAAGCCATGTGAGAGAGCTGGATATAGGCCGTGGACCAGTATAGTTTCGCATACCAATTCACCCGAGTAATGCAAAGTCGACCGCTTAGGTACTACCACTGACGATACACTCCATATACCCTGAATAACTGAAACACAAGAATAACATAACAAAAGATATATATTAATTATATTTAGATATTTAAGCATAGATTTATTCAAACAAATCGGTGCCATTTTTTTTACCTAATTTCGTTATCTTTGAGGCAGCTGCATGATTCCATTCTACAAGAATCTGGCATATCTCTGAGGGATGAAATCGTTTAAATTGTATATAAATGCTTCCAGAGAAATTAAGTTTTTTTTTTTTCCAGTAAAAGAAATTGATAGGGATCGCAATAAGTTCTAATTCGAAGGTGAAAGGTCAGGTAAGTATGGCATGTGTATTAGGACATACAAACAAAGCTGTACCAATTTGTGACGTAACAACGTCTGATTTTTCTGAAGGATCTCGCGGAGAAACGGAGAACCATGATCGCTTATATTCTAAAGGGACGGGTTAATTGTAGTTACATCCGGGGAACAAGCAGCGGGTTGCATGGGGTAGAACAACATGCGCAGCTGAAGGGCGAAAAAAAATAAAGCGATGACTTATCTAATTCACACAAAAGATTCCAGGAATTGTTGCCAATTCCAGGATTTCTAAGCTTGCTGACATCATTCTTGTGTTGTTTTGTCAACTCAATATTTTGGTTTGTTTATTCTTAGAAATTCCGCCAATGTAAGAAAAAAATATACGGAAAAATATCTCTTCTTTCTCAGTTAGATACTTAATCTTTACTCGACATAGCAAAATACAACACCAAGTCATTTCTTCCTCACAGGTTTTGATTTTAATCATTTCATCCCAAACAAGGAAATAAAGCCACGAAGTTGCAAAGATATATACAATGTTGTTCTAAGCAATTCATGTTCAGTGCTGGTAAGTAGTCGAGTTTCGGAAACTCTTGCATCCTCATGGACGGTTTCATAACATTATCTCTCGAACCATTTGTAACCAATTTATTCTTTGCTGAAGATTTAGTGTCTGGAGATTTGTACTAACGTTGGCTTCGTCCAATCAAATTTCTTACTCATTGCATTTGTATGCACCCTGACCTCAAATATTAACGCCCGAAACGCTTCGCACATAGGTCGCCTTGCAAATATGCTTTTCCACCGGAACTGGTTCAGAGGCACCTTTCTTTTAAGAAAGCAAACCATACAGCATTACACACGCTTACGTACGTCCAATATTATATGATACAATTATTGATATATATATATATATATATATATATATATATATATATATATATATATATATATATATATATATATATATATATATATATATATATATATATATATATATAAAGAGATAGATTTTTGTGTCGTACATTCGTAATTATTTTTAATCATTTCACCCCAAATAAGGAAATAAAATAAAGTCATTAAAACGCAAGCGGGGTTATTTAGTGTAAGACAACATGAAAAAAATGACTATTAAGCAAAGAGAAAAATAAAAGAATAAGAATTAAGAAGATAACAATTGATAGAGCATTTACATTAATGGACTAAGATAGATAGATAGATAGATAGATAGATAGATAGATAGATAGATAGATAGATATGAATAGGTTAGACTAGATAGATAGATAGATAGATAGATAGATAGAATAGGATGGAATAGGATGGACTAGATAGATAGATAGATAGATAGATAGATAGATAGATAGATAGATATTAACGCATTTTATCTAAATTTACAGTAACTGCCATAAAAGCAAAATCGGGAGCATGTGTAATCTTAAACCGGACTGAAAGTGCAAGACTATATTGGCTCAAACTCTCCAGATACGCACTTATCCGAGCACATAATGCGTTCGACTGCGCACCCCATTGCCAGATGGTAATCAACAATGTAAGGCGAAAGACGGGAATGAGTGGTCCAAGTGAGTCGATAAACTCGCTGGTCAAGTTCGACCTCTGACCAATTGACTAAACGAGAAGCAAGGCAAATACGTGCAGCCGAAGGGCAGTGAAGGGACGATTGGGTTGGAATAGTGTTTGGACAGCGGGCAATGCGCGCATATCAAGGGGAATGATGGCTTCGAAAGATAGGTAGAGGAGGTTTGAAAATATGTAATACGAGGTTAGTGAGGGAGGTAAGGCAAGAGAGGTGGAAAAAGGCTTTGAAACTAAGAGTACGGACGATGCGATTGAAAGTGAGATGTTAGAAAGATACATACTGGTAAACTTTAGTCCCTCACACGCAAACAAATATATATATATATATATATATATATATATATATATATATATTATCAGCCACAGACAGAGAGTTTTGCTGTTTCACAGCTATATATATTTGATTATATATTGTTAAATATAACAGAAATTAATGTCTATTATGTTTGATCATGAGCCGTTCTAAATTTAGTATGGTTGCTTAATTTCGGGTGAAAATAATGACAAAACTTATCCACCATTTGGATATTTTTTCATCAAGCTGTTCCTTGATCCAAACTTTTGGATCACATGAGCCATCTTCAAAGTGGTGACTCGTTTGAAAATTAATATTGTTGAGTGCGGGTTGCTTTGTTTTAATGTAGATGGCCTCCAATATCTGAAGGTTCTTTTACTGTGTGTATATGTGGATATTGTTGTGTTATCAACTAATATCTGCTTAATGTTATGTACATAGCTATGTTTTTTTTTAAGAAATGTTGTTTAATAAAACTAAGATCAGAAAGGTGACAGGTTAGTCTACGGGAGAGAGTGGTTGTAGTAAAACCAATATATATAGTGGGTGTATTATTACTATCAGAGATACAATCTCTAAAAGGGGCATGTAAATTCATACGCTACATTTTTTTTTGTTTTTGTTTTTTTGTAGAGGATTTAGTTGTGTGATTGTAGGGTTATTAGAGACTATGAGGTCAATTGTTTTAATCTTTTATAATATATGATGAACTTAACTCACGTATATATATATATATATATATATATATATATATATATATATATATATATATATATATATGGGGGTGTAATACCTGAAGCCAAAGTAATGATAATGAGACAACTTGGAAAATTTATTAACGACGCGTTTCGCCTAACCGTCTGCTCTCTTTCGCCTCCTCGTGTTAAAGAGAAGGTAAGACAAAACGATTCCAAGGCATTTTCTCTCACACAGAGTGTTTCTCTCACATAGAGTACCTGATGAATCCATAGAGAGCAGACGCTTGGGCGAAACGCTTCGTCAAAAAAATTTCTACTTTGTCTCATTATCTTCACACACACACACACACACACACACACACACACACACACACACACACACATATATACATATGTATAGAGAGAGAGAAAGAAAAAGAAAGAAAACGAAAAAAGAAAGAAAGTATGAATGAGAGAGAGTATAAGGTGGTGTAGTGGATAGTGGATAGGGTTGAGGAATCGTAGAGCCGAGTTCGAATTCCAATCAAATCCTTTACATTCACTTCCGTGAAATACCTTGCGAAAGGTATTAATCCTCTTCTTTCCCCTCCAGCTATAGGTAAAATAACAGCACAGACTGGGTTCTATAGCCTTGGATCGAGAAGGACAACTCTGAATTCAAAACCTGCGGAGGGTTGTTTGGGAAACTTGTGCCACGCAGTTCACCATTCGGCCCTTCAAAATGTGTGGTTGGTTCTGCACAAATCATATCAAATCATATGTGCCTGACTGTCGGATGCTAGGAACTGAGCTGCTTGACCCTCATACGTCGAATACGACGGGAGAGTCCACTATATATATATATATATATATATATATATATATATATATATATATATAGTGACAGAGAGTCCAATACAGGATTTAAACATTTAATTACCCCATTATTTCTTAACTTTAAATCATAATATCTCACTCGAACTGTTTCTTCCTTCTGGTATGCCGAGGGCCATATAATCCGCTTTCTAGTCACCCTTTCTGCATTTCGAGAGACCGGCACGTCTAGGGTCTCAGTTCTGTAGTGATTATCCTGGGCATGATTCTCCTCCGCCTCAACGGGGAAATTACCTGTGCGTTGTGAGTGCCTCTATGCAAACATTTCATCCTGGTCTGGTAGAACTACGCGGGTTCTTGAATTCCTTTCTACAGATGCTTTTCGCTTTCGTAATCCGGGTGTAATCTTTGGTTGAATGCCCTCCATCCGTCCTGATGGAGATCACATTACCCGCCCCCTCCCCCTCGGGATCCCCTGGGGGTATATATTGTAAAACCTGTAGCCGATAATGGTTATTTCCTACTGGAAGGTGCATGTAGGGGTGCTAACCCAGCTTACCCAAACTGCCGTCTTCCCGTGCTGTCAACTGTCTCTCCAGTTGTCACCAAAACTTTTCTCTGGTCGTCACCTAGTCTTTTTCTAGATGTCACCGAATTCTTCAGACATCCATTTCTATTGGATGATTTAGTATACATATATTTATATAGAGTAGATAAGGAAAGTACGCCATATATTTATATAGAGTAATTAAGGAAAGTACCATAGATTTATATAGAGTAGATGAGGAAAGTACATCATAGATTTATATAGAGTAGATAAGGAAAGTACATCATAGATTTATATAAATAAGATAAGGAAAGCACCATAGATTTATATAGAGTAGATAAGGAAAGTACATCATAGATTAATAAAGAGTAGATAAGGAAAGTACATCATAGATTTATATAGAGTAGATATGGAAAATAAACCATAGATTTATATAAATAATA